TGAATTTGTATGAGTTTGACATAAAAGAAGAGGAAGAACCTTATCTGTCGCCAGAAAAATAGAAATAGATATAATCTGGCCACAACCACAGCCGTCGCGTAGCCCGGTCGTCGCCAAAATAATTATCTACATAAGAGTACGTGTTAAAATAATTTGACAGCTGTGGTTTGTAGCTCGTCGTTTTCATTGTGTTTGGGCTATAATGTAAATAGTGCTAGCGCTCGCAGTGCTCTTAAAAAATATAACTCTTCCGAGCGAGAGAGTATTTTGATGTATTTACGATCTATATTTTTTAAAACCTACAAGTGTGTAATCACATTATTTTTATAAATAGAACACAAGAAAATATTTTACTTTTATTTTGACCACTCTGAGTTTAGTTTTTTTACTCACCCGCGATGCAAATTTACATTGTTAGATCTTATTTTCACATTTAATATTTTTACGAGCTTTGGGAATATTTAGAAATGTATCAGCAGGGGGTCCACCTTAAACGGAAAATTTTTGAAAGGGGTCTACAGAAAAAAAGTTTGGACACCTCTGAATCACCCTTTCGTCTCACCTATTTTTATAATAAACCTTACCATTTCGCTGAAAAATGCAAAAATATATATATACTAGATCGCCCTCACCAGCTTCGCTGAATGTATGAAATTGTTGCGAGCTACATTGGGTAAAATTTATTTCAAGAAAAGTCAATTAAAAAATAGGAGGTTTAAAATTTGTTTAACCATCTTCAAAATATTTTCAAACCAAAACTTTCTTAAACTTCTCAATTGTCATACTTTTTCAACTCAATCAAGATTTTAAACAGATGGAAATTAAGCCCTTTTAAAAACATTTTGATTGATTCCCATATCGCAATAATTCATTTAAATTATTGAATAGTTTGAATTTAACCTTTTAAACAGTTTGCAACCTTTTTAAACCTCTTTCGTCTAACACTCATATTGTGATACATATTCAAAACCATTTCGATTCATACCAATCTATACCAATACATGAATATTTTGAAAGCCGTTTTTGTGTTCGCAAAGCTCGAGAACGACCGAACTGATTTTTTTTTAATTTCTGACACCTGATTTAGACGTCCCAAGGATTATTATAGGCTAAAATAATGTTCGATATATAGAGGGGGCGTGGAACCTCCCATAAAAACCAAATTTTTCATACCGAATATCTATGGAAATGTTCATGGTAGAGTACTGGAACTTGGTGTGGAGATATATGAAATCGATCTTATACTCATGGAGAAAAACAGGCTCTTTGAAAAGAGGGCGTAGCGCCGTACAAACGTATATATAATTAATCTGTAGGCGTGTTTGTGAGTGAAACCCTCCTAAATGCTCGGACGGATTTTAACGAAGTTTTTGTGTGTTTTTGAGTAACTCTCTGGATAGTGTAGATTCGCAAATTCACCCGCCAGTTGGCACTGGAGCTAAGTTATTACTAAAAATCTTATTGATGATCCACTTTGACTAATATTCAAAATATGTATTGGTAAAGGCAATAGTATTGCAAAAAAGAGCTGCCACGTGGCGCTGGAGTGATTACGAATAATCGCCAAGTTAGAAAAGGTGCCGTGAATGTCAGAATAAATAAACCTTTCGCACCATTGAGTATATCGAATTTTTAACCGACTTCCAAAAAAGGAGGAGGTTATCAGTTCGTCGGAATATTTTTTTATTTATTTTTAATTATTTATTTTTTTTTGTATGTATGTTGCCGCATAACTTTGGACCACGCCAACCGATTTCAATAATTCTTTTGGCATCGGAAAGGTAGTGTCTCAGAGGTAGTTCCGTACTAATTTAGTTTAGATCCGATCATTGGATCATGAAATATATATAGATATATATATTTTTTTTAAGTCGGTTTTTTTTTACTAAAAATTACTTGTTATGTGTTACGATTGGCCCAATGTATGTGATTTTTGTATTGTTATTCCTTAAAGCTTCATTCGTAGACACCAGGGTTGAGTTGTGCAGGGGTAAATCCGATAAATCAACCGCCAAAATCATCGCGCGCTCTTTACTGTAATAAATTCAAGTAAAAAATATATTTTCACTTAAATTGCTTTCGTGAAACTTACTTTTTAGGTATTTCGTCTGAAATAAGTCTATGAATATTGGATTTCTGTAGAACAATTATACGCATCCATTTTGAAATTGCCACCAACTATACGATAAAGTTTCTTGGACAGATTTACCATAGAACCGGATCATTGTTGGCGCCAAGGGGTGAAGAGGAAATGTTCTTCAAATTTATTTCGTTGTGAGATTAACCGTTCTATGAAATGTTACACAATTAGAAAATTTCAAGAACTTCATCATGGACATAACGCATTGTTGGTGAAAATGTTGGACCAAAAAGTTTCAATAAAAAAAATAAAAATTTTGTGCGAGACGAAGTTCGCCGGGTCTGCTAGTATTATAATATTTCATTTAAGTTGAATTTTTAAAGAGGTGGCAACCCTTGTGAAAGACTTCAATATTATTCAAAAATTTAAAACTTAAGCTTTCTTAACAATGTTTTGTTTGACAACCATATTTTAATTCTTCATATGGCTTGCGTATAATTAATTTAAATTTTATTTTTCAAACAGGTGGCAAGCCTTTTCAAAATATATTAAACTACAGCTTTTTAGGCCTCTTGACATCCATTTTTTTTTTAGATAATTTTCAAATAAATAACTCCCTTAATTGAAGTTGAATTAGATTTTTTTAAAAGGTGGCAGCCCTCATCCATGAGTAGATAATGATTTTATATATCTCCATGCCAAGTTCCAGTAATCTGCCAAAAATATATTTCCTCATAAATGCAGTATGAAAGATTCCGTTTGTATGGGAGGTGCCACGCCCTCTTGCCTAATCGAGATTAAATGTATCCTATATTTTAAGTTGGGCTAAATAACAGCAGTGTATAAAATTTCATGATGATCGGTTGAATAGTTAAAGCGTGAAAGCATAGCAAACAATCAAACTCACTTTCGGATGACTTTGAATAACTTTTTTGCAGACGTGGGATCCATGGGGACTTTTGACATTTCACTCATAATGGTGTTCGCAACATTCGTATTAATTTTCAGCTCTATGTGAATTATTTTAAGCTTACCCCTATTTTTTGAGCTAACTTGACTGGGTTAACAAGGTGTAAGTAAAACAGGTACACATAGTAGATTGTTAGAGACTATGCACTACGACCTTAGATCTATTGTACATAGTACCATGAGTTCCTTTATTTTATAGAAAAACTGTTCCAAAAAATAACTGGTACTCGTATTTTACTGTAAAATGTGTTTTTTTTTAATGGAGGTACTGCGAAACGGAATTTTCTCGCAGAATTATAATTTTTTTTTCTTGAAAAAAGATACGAGCGTTATGTATGGAATAAAATAATAACATCGTCTGCAAACAAAGAAGTATCAAAAATCAACATAAATTCTTAGCCTACTAAAATTTGCACTTTATTATAATGAAATTCAATGGGCTAAAAAATTTTGAATTTTTCTAAAAACTATGAATAAAAGTGTGTTGTGAAAACTTGTTAAATTTTTCAACAAAGTTTAAAATGTGGATTTATATGATTTTTATATAAATTGTGTATAATTAACTAGATTTTATTAAAAAGTTTTTTGTTTCTGTGTTTTTTTTTGTGTATAAGTCCAATTAGATTTATCAGACGTATCATGGTAGTGCGGCTCAGGTGCACTTATTCTTTTTTTTAGGTAGTCTACAGGCTTATTTGTTGCTTCTCGAACATATATCGACTGCTGAGTGAAAGATCGACCTATCTCGCCAGCCAGTTCGAAAACACCCTATGTTAAAAAACTTTTCAAGAACGCCTTATTTCAGAATTTGGTGGAAGAACGCACTATTTCAATATTCGGTTCAAACGCCCTCAAAACTGCCGATTCAAAAACACCCTATCGCAGCATATTTTCAATTTATTTTGAAATGAGATAGAGCGTTTTTGAACCGAATTCTCAGATAGGGCGTTTTTCAACCAAATTATTAGATAGGTAGATTTTAAATAAAATTCCGAAATAGGGCAATCCTGAAAAGTTTTCTGAGATAGGGTGTTTTCGAACTGGCTGCCGAGATAAATCGATCTCCCACTCAGCAGTCGATAAGCTTCTGCATATCATCATAAATCAAAGATTTAATGCCAAATCTTAAATAATACGATTTTCGTTATCATGTATAGAACTTGTGTAAACTTTTCCTACGTAAATAAAAAAATCGATTTTCCTGTAAAGTTAAAATTTTGTCAAATAACGCATTTTGCTTTGATGATAGCGGTATGTATATACAGTGGTGGAAAAATAAATAGAGACACGACATTTTAAAAAATTTTTCCCATTTTTCTTTCGTTTGTTTAATATTTATATTTTTTTTTATAAAAGTTTAGTTCATTATCTAACAAAACCCATATAAACTCATTTTTAAAACTATGTGCAAAAATTATAAAAATTCTGTATATTGTGTCTAAATTTTCCACTTTTTAACCAGATTTTTTAGAATTTTTCTGAGTATGCAGTTTTATGGCCCACAGTTCCTGAAAAATTGATTTTTTATAACTTTTATTCTGAATGTATTACGCACTTTTTTCCATAATAAAATTTGTCGAACATACTTTGTATAGAGAAAATGCGTTAAAAAAATTTCCAAAAAATAAAGAAATTTTTTAGCAACTTAAAACTTTCACTTTATTTTACTAAAATTTAATGGGCTATACAACGACATACTCAAAAAAATCTGGTTAAAAAGTTAAAAATTTCGATGCATGTTCGCAGAATTTTTATAATTTTTGCACAAAGTTTGGAATATGAATTTGTATGGTTTTTGTTATATAATGAGCTATACTTTTATAAAAAATAACAAATATTAACTTAACAAAGAAAAATAGGAAAAAATTGGTAAAATGTCGTGTCCCTATTTATTTTTCCACCACTGTATATATATTTCTTACGAATTTTTGATAAATTAACCTGTTTTTACCTTCAATAAAAGCGCGTGAACTCCTGGATATCCCGCCCATTTGAGTTGCTGTTGCAACTTTTCAACTTTATCACGAGCATCAGGACGATCAAGAGGCAAGCGATGCAGCACACGTGTTAATAAACGCACCGCCAAAAGAAATTCATGTTCATAATCGCTCTCCAGGAGAGAAACAGACAGCCAAAATAATTGTGCCAGTATTGTCATTTTATCATCCTGTGTATGTATATAAAAAATATAGAGAACATCCTAATAAATAGAGGTATATTTTTACTAAAATTTAAAGTCTTATCACCTGTGTGGCGCTGTCACCCAACATTTTCAAGCTTTGTGCGCTGCGTGAACGTGAAAGCGCTGAACCACCGAATTTTGTTGTATTTCTTTCCATTTCAGACATGCCCGATGCGCGATTACGTAACTCAACTGCAAATATTCGCATATACATATGTTTGTAGTATAATATTACATGTACATAAATATGTTTCAAATATAATACTTCTTTAAAGTAACAAATTTTCGATTGACGAAAGCCGAACTAGAAACACAAAATTTATGATATCACTTTCATGACCAAAATTATACAGATCTTTTAACTGCATTGAAAACTGACGAAAAAATATTAAAGTTCTTTTTTTCTGTTCATAACAGTAGATGGATCTTTGCAACGTGTCGAAAAATTAAAATATTTTCGTCAAACCAATTTTCCATCCAATGCAGTTGAAACAAGTCTAAAGCTAAGTGTACACGGTAGAGAAAAAACGCGAGATTGAGACAAAAATCTGACGTGTAAACACTCAATAGAGCTCTACGAGGGACTCACCTACAAAGTCTATGTAAGAGTTGTTTAGCGAGACTTTTTCGCCGTGTCCAACGAAGCTAGATCGGAAACTCTACGACAACTCTACGCTCTATTTAGCAAGCTAAATAGACTTTTTGCTCTACGGAGACGTATAGTAAAGTCTTGACAATGAGCTTCATTAAGCTAAGGCCGTGGTTGTTAATTGGCAATCAAAAGAGACAAATTTCGGTGATTGGTGAAAAGTGGTTACGCTCTGTTTGCTGATTGGCGAGCACAGGGTTGCTTCTTAAGAAATGCCTTTTTCCATTTCATACAATTTCGCACACAATGACAGCACTGAAGTAAAAATGCAACTAAAAACGCATCAAAATTTAGCTCAGAAAATGAAAAATGGAAGAACAACTTAATATTTTTTCTTTTTTTAATATTTAATTTTTATAATAATATTTTTTATAATATCTACTTTATAATAATAGTAAAAAAATATTTTTTACTATTCTTATATTTAATACTAATACTTTTTCGCAAAATAGCGTATTGCCACCCTGAAAAATTGACGTGCTGGCTGTTCGGTTCACCCAGCAAATCGTGCTGGCTGTTCGATTTCGAAAATTCTCTCACTCCGTGCTGTGCACAGCAACAATTGCACGGTGATTGCCAATCGAAATTGGTGGCGTAACCACGGCCTAAGCGTACACGGTAGAGAAATCTCTCGAGAGTTTCACTGAAATAAAAATCTCCTCTCTCAATTAAGTTTACACGGTAGGAGATATTCACTCTAGCTAGAGACAAAATAGAGAAATCTCAACTATTATCTATCACGTGCTCTACAAGCTGTATACACGGTAGACAATACATAGTTACCTCTCGCCTAGAGTTAGTTTTCTATCTCGAATTGTTGTCAACGCTTGTTGTATGTATATATGTATTTATATCAAAGCCACGATGTAGAAAATATAGTTGGTGCCATCAGCGGAGCGCTAACCCTTCGTCGATTTGACAGCATTCACTTATTTTCAAATGTTATAAAAGACATTTTCGCAATATGGACAAGAATTATATTTTCAAATTGTATTTATTTGCCGGAAAAATTGTACCTAAAAGTAGACAAATGTACCTAAAACTTAAACATGGCAACCTCTCTCTTCGGTACATTTGGACCCGCATCAAACAACCTTTAATATTTAAAATTCCCTTGAAAGGAGTTTCTCCGAGCAGTTCCAGCCAAACTACTATACATATGTATGTAGGTATTCACCAAGTTGAGCAAGTTGCCTGGCACTCTGACAAAACAGCAGATAACTAAAGCAACGAAATAAAATTCTACAACATCCTGTCGTACGTAATTTTTGTCGAAACGAAATGGAAGGGAGCGAGAGGCCTCTCCCCCCCTTAAGTGTCCAGGTTTGGCAACAGAGATATCTGGCAACCCTATATTAATGGGAAAAACTTATGTAGTCATAAATGGGCAGTGCCACGTCCATTTTTCAAATTCCAAAATAATCTTATTTCTTTTTAAGAGAGAGTTGTGAGTATTAACCTAGAGTAAATAAGCGTCCTTTCTGAAATTTACCTTTAGGCTACGGTTACTATGCATTCGTATTCTGACGAAATTTTTTTGATGATTTCGTAGCAACAAAAAAATACGCGTTTGTTTGTTTGATTCGTATTTTTTTGTTCCGACGAAATCATCAGAACAAAAGTTTGTCAGAATACGCATGCATAGTAACCGTAGCCTTATGAGAAAGGAGGCGTAGTTTTAGTCCGATTTTCCATGTCCTGATTTTTTGTGTCAATTAAAATAATTCTACCAAGTTTGGTACAAATTCATATAACGATTAGCGAAATACACATATCGGACGCTCGTACGTCAAAATTAAAAAATAAAAATAATTGAAAAAGTCAAAATTTTAAAAAGGGGTTTCTAGATTTGCATAGCAATAAAATGGCCCCTTATTCAGTAAAAAAATACTACTGTTGGTAGTAGTGATTTAAACATATTAGTAAACGTTACAAAAAAAGTGGATTTTGACTTCGTTTACAAAATTGCAAAACTGCGAATTGGGCAAGACTATTTGTATAAAAACTTTTGCAGTAATATTGGAAATATTTTAGGTTTATTTTCCAAGTTTTGAAATGAAAAAATCGTTTCTGCTTTATGTTTAATCAGCTGAAGTATCTGACGTGATGTTACTTGGCGTTACGTTACTAAAATTTCCATAGAAAAAGCTTTGTTAATATTGTTCTTCAAAGAATTTTTAACGGGAAGAAAACATGTATTTTATATCGAACGAACTTTTTATTTTGACATCAGCGCCAGGGCCGTGGAGAGAAAACTCGGGCCTGGACAAAAAATCACGGGCCCCTGTACATAAATTGTATTAATTTAAAAGCACTAGATAATTTTCTTTAATTTAAAGTCAGGATAAATCAGCACGAATGGAAATATATTTATAATAAAAGCCTATAACGAAGGAGCAATTACATTGTAAAAAAACGAATAACAAGTTATGGTTCTGATATATTGGGCCCCTTAACAAGCCCGGGCCCGGAAGAATTCAGCCCTTCCCTCTCGACGGCCCTGATCAGCGCCACCAGCGCCACCAGCGGTATCACTTTTTGCTAATCTATGTCCTACTACGTTTCCACTAAACATACCAAATGTGAAACAAATCTGAGCATAAATGCTTTTTTCGAAATATCCCGACTCTGGCGCCACCTAAAGAGACCACTTGGCAAAAATTTTTCTGCTTACATAACCAGTATATGTTATAAAAAGCAGCCAAATCGACATAAAAATAAGTTAGTTATAGGATTTTTAATTTTTTTACGCGGTAGACTTTTCACTGGATTCGCCCATATAAGTATAGGTGGTTATAAGTAGGCGGGGTGTCACGGCCATTTTCCAAAAATTGGCTACAAATGAATTTCTTGCCGAAGAATTACTGCAAACATCAATTTTGAATAAATTAGCTTCAGTGGTTACTGCTTGGCCGAAGATTTCTTATTTTTCTAAACTACCATTATATGTGATGTGGGCATGGTTATTGTCCCATTTTACAAATTTTTAGCCGATTGGTAACAAGATCAAATACCGCGCCAAATTTGGGAGAAATTGGTGGAGCGGTTACCAAGATATACACAAGTGGGCGGGGCTACGGCCATTTTCCACAAATTTATAATATTCGTATTTTCCGCCAAAATGTCATTGTCAATATTAATTTTGAATGATTAAGAGTCAGTAATTGCTAAAAACGCAGTTTTCGTATTTCCGCCAACAACCGTTATATGGGAGGTAGTCGGAGTTATTGTCCTATTTTAATCATGCATTTATGTATGGATTTGTCTACATAAACCTATATCGATTCCTTTAGGCTGTTACAAACAACCGTTATTTGAACGAACGGTATTTCCTTGTACATACGCGTTCCAAAAGTAAGTTTTAGAGCATGATACAATAATTTTTAGAAGGTAGTTTCACTTGAAAATTTTTGACATAAACCGTGTCTGTGACAAACACGCGATGATGTCACTGTTACGATATTGAACATGGGTATTTCAACTTATTGTTTTGGGTATTTTTTTACTCATGTAAACATTTATATATTTTATAACTGATCACTTTATTTTTAATATATATACTTGCCACTGCTAATCACATCAATAAAAATCATATAAACGAAAATGATGTCTGGGAAGTTGGCATACGGTATGACGCAAAACGAAAAAAAAAGTTGTTCTGAGTAGCCTTCCAATAGTTGTAGAGTTCTTGAAAAGGGGAAAAAAAGTTCTGGATATTTTCACAAAAAAAAA